GCAGTGAGGAACTGCTTTGTTTACCATCAGTAAATAAACTCAAACAGCACATTTTTCTCCATCTTGTCCCTTTTAATTTAAAAATGATGCTCGTTATGTGGGTTTTTAGGTTAAAATCTTCATTATCTGTTGCTATTTGTAATAAAAAAATAAACGAACTCTTCCTGGTTAAAGTGCACGCATTCTCCGGTAAAAATATTCTTGTTTTTATATTGTGATGTCCTGCTGGATACTGAAATTGAAGAAAACGTGAATAACCATCACTTTATTGTATAAATAGTTACTGTCTGCTGTAACCATGCCAGTACAACAACAAACTCATTAGTGCACGCATTCTCCGGTAAAAATATCCCAGTTTTTACATGAAAGACTGGCTGCATATATATTATAATACCTGTTTTAGTTTTAGATTTAAGGTATGATGTATGTTATGTTATGTTAAATTTTGGGCCAAGAGTTGATTTTTCTCAGTTCATTTCTTCACACCAGGGGCGATTCTAGAAGCTCTTTTTAGGGGCCGTAGCCCCCCCAGTGTTGACACTGGCTCTTGGCTTGAACCACACAGTGTATTAGCATTAGAATTATTGTAGGGGGGACATATTGGTGTGAGGTCTGTGGGTCCTCCCCCATAACTTTTTGAATAAAGCAGCTGCTATTTCCTGCATTCTGGTGTATTTTAACAGGTTTTAAAACATCTATGTTTACCTACATAAGTAAATACTTTATTCAATAACTGTTTCATAAAGCATGGCACAAGAAGTAGCACTAAGCTTTTTGTTTGTCTTTAATTTAATTTAATTTTTCTACCTAACACAGGAAGCTGTTAGCTCTGGAAGCAAGCTGTTAAACAGCTTTGGACACAAAGACCCTTGTCACACACTTCAACAGAGCAGGTAAGATACATAACATCTTGTAATCTCTGTCTGGTGAGGCTCATTAAATAATTATAAAATATGAAAAGTGAAATAAATAAAGAAAAATTGAGCTTCTGTAATTTATATTTGCAAATGTCACATTTTCTAGACTTAGTGTCAATTGTAAATCTCTTGTTTTTGATAAAATATTTTTGACAAAAGAAAGGCCAACAGATTGTAATTTGTAGTCACTGTGACACTATTTTGACTCGTGCACGTCTTCTGTCACTTTTAGGTTCCACAAGGCTCTGGACTGGTCCAGCTGTGGAGAGATGAGGTGGAACACCAGACCTGCAATGGTCCAGTCTGTAAATGATGCTCTGAAGTCTGGGAAGATGCACGACATCATGCTTCACCCAAACGAGCTCGTTACCTCGACCACATACACTGAACTTCTGGAGGACGTCGTCCAGTGTATAATAACGCCTTTAAACATTTTTATTTGTTGAGTTCTCTGCTTGGTACATTATTTTTCTTTTTTTGTTTGTCTGTTTAAACAATTTAAAACATGACAGTGATGTCACTGTTTAAAGGAAACAACTGCTCAATAAATTAGTAAAATTCAACTTGTTCTGTTTGGGTTCTTTCATCTAAGGTAGACATGGTGTGACCCATGGACTGGTTTAGATTTTTTGTTTTTACTGTAACTGACCTTCAAAAGAGCCAGAAACAGACTCAGCAGCTGATCCTCTGTAAAAACATTATATGGACTACAGGCCATGGATTATTGTTTTGTGACATTTAGTGAAGGTTTTTGTTTGGATTAAGACAATAAATGTCTCTATTTCACCACAGATGAACTGTTCCTGTTGCCATATCTTTTGAAATAAAACTGCACAAAACAAAGTAATTTAAACAGGAATGGGTAGAAGATCAAATCAAATTCAATTCATTTCCTAAAAATTAAATGAAAAACACGAGCAGGACAGGAGTGGGAGTCTTGTTACCAGGATTGGGACAGGACAGGATTATTATTTTTTTACTCTGAACCAGGATTGGGACAGGACAGGATATTTTCTGTGGGACCAGGACAGGACAGGAGTGAACATCCACTCCCGTGTCATCCTCTACCTGGTTCTTCTGAAGGTTTCTTCCTCATTTTCCTCATTTTATGTTACAAACCGGATTCCAAAAAAGTTGGGACACTAAACAAATTGTGAATAAAAACTGAATGCAATGATGTGGAGATGGCAAATGTCAATATTTTATTCGTAATATAACATAGATGACAGATCAAAAGTTTAATCTGAGTAAATGTAACATTTTAAAGGAAAAATATGTTGATTCAAAATTTCACAGTGTCAACAAATCCCAAAAAAGTTGGGACAAGTAGCAATAAGTGGCTGGAAAAAGGAAAATGAGCATATAACGAACAGCTGGAAGATCAATTAACACTAATTAGGTCAATTGACAACATGATTGGGTATAAAAAGAGCTTCTCAGAGTGTTGGTGTCTCTCAGAAGCCAAGATGGTAAGAGGATCACCAATTATAATAGTAATACTTTATTTATAAAGCCCTTTAAAACAACCACAGCTGCCACAAAGTGCTGTACATATAAAATCAAGAACATTTAAACATAAAAACAGTTGTTAAAACATTAAGATCACATTCTCTCAGTTTAAACTTTTGATCTGTGATTTGTGTTCTATTCTGAATAAAATATTAGATGTTGGCACCTCCACATCATTGCATTCAGTTTTTATTCACAATTTGTTTAGTGTCCCAACTTTTTTGGAATCCGGTTTGTATTAGTGCTTAGCATATATTTAGTTGATGTTTTTCTTAGTTCATATTTTAGAGGTTATTACTGTTTTTCTTTTACATTTTATTGTTGGATGTAACTGGGACCCTGTGGACATAATTTTGCTCCACCACATGTACCACATGAGGTGCAAATGACAATAAAGAAACTCTGACTCTGACTCATGAGGGAGTTTTTCCTTTCCATTGTCGCCTTCATGCTTGCTCAAGATGAGTCTGCAATTAAGTTAAACTCAAAGCAGTCTGCTCCTCAGATAAATGTTATTAACTTACTTTTTATGTATATGAATGTTTCTGTTCAGTGCCTTGAGATTACTTCAATTGTGACTTGGCGCTATATAAATAAACTGAAATGAATGGAATTGATCTGACTGTGATCCTACTGTGAGTAATTATTGACTGACTTCGGGTCTAGTTTAGATCGTCATTAGTTAGACCCAATATATTACCTTTTATGGCATCTAGTTGACGGTGAAACAGTTGGCAAAGCTGCCACCTCTCAGCAAGAAGGTTGTTGGGTCAATTCCCAGCCGGGCGGCCATTCTGGGTGGAGTTTGCATGTTCACTCCTTGCATTGGTAGGTTTTCTCCCACAAACCAACAACATGCATGTTAGGCTGACGGGCAACTCTAAATTGTCCCTAGGTGTGAGTGAGAGAGTGAATGGTTGGTTGTCTCGTTTGTCCCTGTGATGGACTGGAGACCTGTCCAGGGTGTCCCCCGCCTCTCGCACAGTGATTGCTGGACATGGGCAACAGTGACCCCCACAACCCGAAAAGGAAGAAGCGGGTTAGAAGATGATGTATGGATGGATGGATGGACATCTAGCTGTTTTATATGATTGTTGTATACATTGACATTAACTATGAGTTAAAAAGATATTAAAAATAATTTGTGACACAGATCCTGTTGGTCTTGCTGTTAATTAAACTGTTGTTTTGTCAGCTGTGAGCAGTTGCTCATTTTGGAAGCCATCTTATCTTCTCCATGTTGTCACAAATGTAATAAGAGTGAGATGGGCCATGTGCACTCTAGAGTTATTATATAACTCTATGATGGAAATAAGTGTTCTGAATTTACAATTCTTTGTACATATAGCTTTATAGCAACATCTGGCTGAAAAAACAACTTTTCGCAGTTTGTTTCAGTTTGTTTGGGACTTCTCAAATCGATGAAGCCCCAATGGAGGGCGTAACATCTCAACAAAAAATAGAAACTGTCCAGAATACCTGATTGAACATTGTTGAACTTTTCACAGTAGTAAAAGCATAGAACTTTGAAGTGGAACTGAGCGGCTTTGGCTGAGTGTTTAGAGCAGTCGTCCTCCAATGCAAGAGTTGGGGGTTCGAATCCACCAGCAGTCACATGTTGAAGTGTCTCTGGGCAAGACAATGAACCCCTCGGTGCCGCCGATGTGTGTTCCATCGGTGTATGAATGTGATAAAGCTCTGATTAGTCTCTTTAGAATGATTTGTTCAATTAGCTTTGTAGAGATCTAGTATAGAGCTGTATGAATGGGGCAGTGAGGCACAGATTGTTGTAAAGAGCTTTGAGTATCTTGAAATAAGATAGAAAGGTGCTATATAAGTACAGTCCATTTACTTTCCTGTAATACCCTCCAGTTTGTCCTGGGTTATCCCAAGGTTTTCCCAGGTCTAGAGAGGATTTATAATCTCTTCAGCAACTGCCCAGAGGTCTCCTCAGAGTGGGATGTGCATGGAAAATCTCTAGAGGAAGGCAATCAGGATGCATTCTAATTAGATGCTCGAACCACCTCAGCTGATTTCTTGCAACGCAGAAGAGCAGCAACTGTACTCCGAGCTTCCCCCAGATGATGGAGCTTCTCACCTTATATTTAAGGCCAAGTCTGGCCATTCAACAAAGAAAGGGTGGCTTGACCTTAGACATGGGTGAAGAGCTCTGTCATCTGGGAGGAGCTCAAAGTAGAGCCCTGGTTCTTTCCTGAAAGGAGTCAGCTCATGCCTCCTGGGCACCTCCTTCTGGTGAACGTGGTAAATAATGTTCCACTTCAAAAACTCTGGCTGAACCAGAACTCATTGAAGAGATTATGTATCCTCACTGGCCTAAACATGCCTTGAGACCCCCCAGGAGGTTCTGGAGAGTGTTGCTGGGAGAGGGAGGAATGGGTTTCCTCCTGGTTCTGTTGCCTTCATGACCCAACTACAGATAAGTGTAAGAAAATGAATGGGTGAGTGGATTTCTTTCATAACTAACATTACTGGTTTGTATGTTTCTATGTTCAGAAGTGGACACATTTGATCCATCCTCTCAGTGGCAGTTCTGTTTGTGTTTATGTGTTTCAGGAGTGCATATTTGAGCAGCTTGAAGCCAAGCAGCACATCTTTCAGGACATAGAGCGTCTTGTGGGTGAAGACGTCATTCTGAGCAGCTCTACGTCCGGCCTGGTGCCAAGCAGTATTTTCTCTAAAGTTCAGAACAGAAGTCGCTGCATTGTTTCTCATCCGGTTAGTCTGAACACTGCACTGCTGTCACCAGTGTGAGATGAATTACAACTTATAAAATAAAATAAGAGGAGGGAGGTAGATAAATTATGACTTAAGTATAGGACCAATGCTTGTATCCACTTACAAAAACTCAAGATTAAATAAATATACATTCACCTTCCATGATTTGTAACAAAAGAACAGTTCAAACAATTACTACTTTAAATATTTCCATTTAGTTGTTCCATGTCTACCTCCACCTAAAACTGACTTCTTTTGTTTGTTCATTTTCCAAATCAGTAATGTCTTTATTTTATCATCTACCAATGGAGCAACATTTAATCAGTTGCAATGAATTTCTCCGGTTTGGCCACCCCCTGGCTCCACCGTTGCACCTGATGGGGAATAACTGCCCCCTCCACTTGCCAGGATCTGTCACTCTGTGCTGCTGCAGACAAGCAAAAAATAAAATAAAATAAAATGAAACCTTCCTCTCTTCTTCTCCACAGTGTAACTCCGACCCACTTGACTATACGGCACCATCATTCATTAATGCATTCCCTGTTCAATTCCAGTCCAGAAAAACATTCATGTTGACAGTTACAAACGTTCACTATTTTAATCCCTCAATGATGGGGGACATTGTTGTATCGCTTGTTAAGGATGATTAGCTGTGATGGAGCAGAGGTCACAAAGGTGCAGGACTTCAAGGACTTGGGGTCCACTGTCCAAGAGAATGTGGAGTGTGGTAAAGAGGTGAAAAAGAGAGTCCAGGCAGGATGGAGTGGATGGAGAAAAGTTTCAGGAGTGATTTGTGACAAAAAGGTGTCAGCAAAGGTCAAAGGAAAAGTTTACAAGACAGTGGTGAGACCAGCTCTGTTGTCTGGTCTGGAGACAGAGACATGGACAAAAAGACAGGAGACAGAACTGGAAGTAGCAGAAATGAAGATGTTGAGGTTCTCCTTAGGAGAGACAAGGATGGAGAAGATCAGGAATGAGATCATCAGAGGTACAGCACAGGTTGAACAACTGGGAGATAAAGTTAGAGGACACTGGCCCCGTCATATTTATGTGATCTCATTAACATTTACACTCCAGTAAGAGCACTCCGGTCTACTAACCAGTTCCTCTTAGATGTCCCCAGATCCAAACTGAAATCCAGAGGTAATCGGGCTTTTGCGGTTGCTGCTCCAAAACTGTGTAACAGTTTATCTGAGAATTTAAAGACCGCTCAGACTGTTGAGACTTTTAAATCTTTGCTCAAGACTGTATTATGAAATTCTTTATCAAAAGGGTTCGTGAACGATCGGCACAAGATATTCAGA